AATGGGGACATTCGCATCTGTGCTGATTACAAATGCACTCTGAATAAGGCATTGCAGCAACATGCCTATCCTGTTCCTGTGGTCAGTCATATTCTGGCCTCCCTCAAGGGGGGGCGCGTTTTTGCAAAGCTTGACCTAGCTCAGGCATATCAAGAGCTGCCTGTTGATGATGATGCTGCTGTAGCTCAGACCATTGTGACCCATAGGGGAGCATTCAAGGTAAAGAGGTTACAATTTGGAGTAAATGTCGCTCCTGGAATTTTCCAAAGCGTAATGGAAAACACACTACGGGGTATACTGGGGGTTTGCCCCTATTTTGATGATTTCTTAATTGCAGGAGACTCTACACACAATTTAGCTGAGAGATTAAGGGCTGTTCTGCTAAGGTTCAGGAAAACGGGCCTCAAACTTAAGAAGGACAAATGTAAAATTGGGGTGCCTTCTACTGATTTTCTGGGATTTAAAATCGATGCTACTGGGATTCACCCTGCTGAATCCAAACTGAAAGCTATTATGCATGCCCCTAGGCCGAAGTCTAAGGCCGAACTACAGGCTTTTCTGGGCCTTCTGAATTTCTATAATTCCTTTCTCCCACATAAGGCTAGTGTAGCTGAGCCTCTTCACAGGCTCTTGGACAAACAGACAGTGTGGCAGTGGTCACAAAAACACGAAGCAAGTTTCAATGAGGTCAAGGCCTTACTCACTTCTAACAGTGTACTTGAACATTTCAATGAATCCCTTCCTGTGTGCATCGCTTGTGATGCTTCTCCTTATGGGGTGGGAGCCGTACTAAGCCACCTCAGATCAGATGGAACTCAGGTTCCTGTTGCATATTACTCTAGAACCTTGTCTTCTGCTGAGCGAAATTATGAGCCGAGGTGGCGCAGCAGTTAGAGTGCAGTACTGCAGGCCACTTTAGCTGACTGTGTTCAGCAGGACAGCGGTTCAAATCTCACCGGCTCAAGGTTGACTCAGCCTTCCATCCTTCCGGGGTAGGTAAAATAAGGACCCAGATTGTTGGGGGCAATGTAAATATATATATATACATTGCTTACTGGTGTACACCACTTAGAGAGTGCTTGCACTTAAAGCGGTATATAAGTCTCATAAATAAATAAATAAATAAATAAATAAAATGCTCAAATAGACAGGGAGGCTTTAGCTGTTGTTGCTGGAATTAAAAAAATTCCATGATTTTTTATATGGCAGGCATTTCACTGTCTTCACTGACCATAAGCCTTTGTTGGGACTGTTTACCACACGTAAGCAAACTCCCCAAATCATCTCCCCCAGAATGCTAAGATGGTCTATCTTTCTGTCTGCCTATGATTTCTCCTTACTTCACAAACCTGGGAAGGAAATGTGCCATGCTGATGGCCTCAGTAGGTTACCCCTGCTGGTAATAGAAGCTGACCCTGCACCAACTATCATTCTTCTCTCCATTCAGGCCTTGCCTGAGTCTCCTTTAGATGCCAGGGATGTGGCCGCTGAATCAGCCACAGATCTCACACTTTCACGTGTCTTTTCTTGGGTTTTATCTGGATGGCCAGAGAGCTGTCCTGGCACTGAGTTTCAGAGTTTCTGGTCCAAAAGGAACGAGTTGTCCATCTTCCAGGGTTGTCTGCTTTGGGGAAGCAGAGTTGTCATTCCTACCTCAATGAGGACTAGGGTCTTAGGTTCCCTCCATGAGGGTCATCCTGGCATTGTACGCATGAAGGCACTTGCGCGCAGCCATTTGTGGTGGCCTGGGTTAGATAGAGACATTGAAGCTAAGGTGCATGCATGCCACCTTTGTCAACGCTGCGCCCCGAAATGCCCCAAGCTCCTGTACATAGATGGGAGGAAACACAGTCTCCATGGTCTAGGGTGCACATTGACTACGCTGGGCCCTTTCAGGGTCAATTCTTCTTGGTCCTAGTTGATAGCCATTCAAAATGGCTTGAGGTTGTACCTGTCTCTTCCACCACCACTGCAAAGACTATTCAAGTACTGAGGGGGATTTTTGCTGCACACGGGCTTCCAGACGTCCTCGTGTCTGACAACGGCCCTCAATTCACTTCTTCCGAATTCCAAGCTTTCTTACAGGCTAACATGATTCATCATGCCACCTCTGCACCTTTCCACCCGATCACCAACAGTATGGCTGAACGCATGGTTCACATCACCAAGGACGCCTTGAAGAAAATTACCTATGGAGACTGGCATCACAGGTTGGCTGACTTCCTCCTTTCTTATCGCACTACACCGTCCACTTCTATGGGGAGGAGCCCAGCTGAACTTCGTTGGGGGCGCAAACTGACTACCAAGCTTGACCAGTTGCATCCGGACAGACTGCCTCCTTCTCTCACACACCCCAGGGCACCTAGACAACTGCTTGTGGGTGCCCCGGTTTGGACTCGTAATTATGGGTCCCCGCTGCTGTATCCAGGGTCACAGGTCCTCTGTCTTACGAGGTGTCCCTGGACGACGGTCGTATCCTGCGTAGACACATCGACCAGCTTCACCCTAGACGGGACCTTCCCGCTGAGACTCCTGGGTCTTTTCCAGGGGGGGAGGGGGACCCCTTTGGGCAAAGGGAAGGGTATGGGCTGCTGCCCATCATTAATGAGGAAGCTACAGACAGCTCATCCCAAAATTCCACGAGTGCTCCAAACAGGAATTCATGGAGCTCAACTAGAAATCAGGCATCAATGCCTACTCCAGCCAGGGAGTCACCTCGGGGGCATAATCACTACTCAACCACATCACTCAGTACTCCAGTCAGGGAGGATACCCGGGAGCATCCCAACAAACCATACCCTGCAAGAGAGCTGGCACACACTCCTTCTAGTTGGCCCGACACTACCTCTATCCCTAGAAGGGGGCAAACATACAGGGAAGTGGTCAAGGAACCAAATCCCGAATACAACACCTCTGATTTCACTCAGGGGACAACTGAGTTTTGGGACAGCACTGAAACCCCCACAAGCCGGGGGACAGAACGGGAACAAGGGGACAGACGACCTCCTGACAGGTCTTGGACAGACCTAGGAGGTTCTACAGAATTGCCCAACAGTGACAGTCACTTAGAGGGGCCAGAGAGCCTACAGCTAGGCAGGACAACCAGGTCAAACAGAGAAAGAAGCCCTGACCTGAAGAGCCCGGTGGGCAAGCAAGCAGCCAGGCATTGGAGCACAGTCCTTGGGAACCACCAGGGTGAAACAGGGGGGACAGGTATGCATCACCCCTCAGTCAAGGGGTACTTGGCAGGTACCCAGAAGTTAGGAGGTCACAGAGAGCCAGAAGATCTCCTAAGTATTTAGAGGATTTTGTAACACTACTGGCAAAACAGAGTTAACAGAGAACATTCCTGTATACAGAGGAAATAGAACACTGAGACTGTTAGAAACAAGGGAAATACCTGGCATTAGGTAGTATGGCACTACGCTCGCAATGGGTTATGTGTTATTATTACATGATCAATAGTCTTAGCCGGGGGGGAAGGGGTGTTATGTCCTGAGCCTGTGAAAGCAGGCTCGGGGCATTGCAAACGGTCCCGGGCAGGTGCAAGCTGCCCGGGACCAGACAGGCTGTCGCCAGTACTTGTGTGCATGCGCAGGTGCTGGTGTGCCAAAAGTTGCAGTTTGACCCAGGAATGGCCTATAAAAGAGGCCGGGAGTTTTGGGCGTTGTCGGTGTCTTGTAACCAGTATGCTGAACTGAAATAAAGAAGTTCCTGAGAACTACAACTGCTTCTCGTGTCATTGCCATTTCGTGAAGGACGCAACAGTTGAGGTCTACCTATGATGACAATTACAGTCCTCTCTCATCTTTTTAAGTGGGAGAACTTGCACAATTGCCCCACTGTATATCATGTGTATTGAGATGAATTTTTGATATTGACCAAATACTTATTTTCCACCATAATTTGCAAATAAATTCTTTCCAAATCAGACAATGTGATTGTCTGGATTTGTTTTCTCGTTTTGTTTCTCATAGTTGAGGTCTACCTATGATGACAATTACAGGCCTCTCTCATCTTTTTAAGTGGGAGAACTTGCACAATTGCCCCCCTGTATATCATGTGTATATATGATATACAGTAGGGCAATACATTTTGCCCCACTGTATATCATGTGTATATATGTGTTATGCATGTGTATGGATAGATATATACTTTCCTTTGAGAGCAGGCAACAGAATTTCAGTTTTAATGTGGGCCAGTATACTCATACTAAAAAATGACAAATACAATTGCACTCCAAACCAGACACAGCTTCCAAACGCTTTTGAAGGGCAGTTCCAAGTAAGTCCATTGCAATAGACCAACTGATAATGGGCATTGGATCCCAAATCAGCAATAAGTATAAATGGCACACTAGAAATCTTTATGCAAAATTCTCCTGCCTCACCCGCCCTTTTCTCAAAAAGAAGACCTGAACCATATAAGCAACAGCCCCTTATATTTCTGGAGTTTCTTTTATTTTTGTGGGATTAAATTAATTTTAATAGCAATCACCTCCTAGTGTCAACAGAAAGCAAAATATCTCAATCGATAAACTTCCTGTACACAAGACTGAACTTATTTTCTTTAATAGAGCTACCAACTATCTGCTTTGCAAAGAATCTTGGCCAATTTCCATTATTATTAATTTGATCAATAATTTTCATTTAATCATTGAAACAAAAAAACTTGAAGCTCCTTTTTAAATTTATTTTTATGTTTTGTTTCTGCACTATTGTATTTTCTTTTCTTTTTTCTTAATGTTAGTTTTTATGTTAGTTTAAAGCTTTTAATAATATATATATTAAACAAAATGAAGAACGTATCTTTATTCAGCAAAAAGCACACAATTAGCCTTCAACCATTCTCAATTTTTCAGCTAACAAATGAGCCAATCTCACCTTAGAATCTTTCAGAGATTGTCTGCATTACATCTACCCTGGCATTGTGCCTTTATTTTGAAGTTACGAATCTTAGCTTCTTCTTATGCAGTATCAATCATTCCTTTTCCTTACCATTTACTCTTTTTTATTTAATTCAGGATGTATTATAATAATATAGCATTTGGGAAGGAAAATACAACTCAATAAACCAAAAGCAGAGGTTAAGATGGAGAAAATCTCCACGGCTACCATCAATTTGCCCTTGGTGCTCAAGTAGGTGGGGATGAAGGAAATCCAAACACTGCAAAACACCAACATGCTGAAAGTGATGAACTTGGCTTCATTGAAACTGTCAGGCAATTTTCTGGCAAAGAAAGCCACTGTGAAGCTGACAATGGCCAGAAGACCCATGTAGCTCAACACAAGGTAAAACATCATCTCTGAGCCTTCGTTGCATTTCACTAAGATCTCACCCACTTGGGAATGCTTCTCTAATTCTGGAAAAGGGGGCTTGTTCACTAACCAAATAGCACAGATGGCAATCTGAATCAAAGAACAAGGCACAATAACCAAGATTGCTAGCCTCTTTCCCATCCATCTCCTCATCTTGTTCCCTGGTTTTGTAGCCACAAAAGCCAGAACCACAGTGATCGTTTTGGCCAGTACACAGGAAACAGCAACAGAGAAGGTGATACCAAACACAGCCTGCCTTAAAAGGCAGGTTTCCTTGCTAGGTCTTCCTATGAAGAAGAGGGAGCAAAGAAAACATAGCAGCAGAGAGGTGAGCAGGATACATGTGATGCTCCAATTGTTGGCTTTCACAATGGGAGTGTTCAAGTGTAACCTGAAGATTGCCATCACAATAAGTGTGGTCAGAGAAAGAAAAAGTGCCAAAGATGTCAGAGCTTTTCCCAGGCCATCTTTATGGGACAGGTAAGTCATTACTTTAGGAATGCATTCTTGTTGATTTGTGTTAGGATACTGTTCTTCCTGGCAAGACTCACATTCATCTGCATCTGAAGATCACAAGCATAAATTCATTATTTGAACTTTGTACTAATATTTTTCATATTTCCTGCTCTTTATATATTATTTGATGTAAAAAAAGTTAGTACTGAACTCTACAAAAGTCTTTTAAAATGATGGTTCCCAATCTTTTCAGCTTTCTGGAACAGTAAAAGCACCGGCAGTGGTGGGGAGAGGGAATAGTTTTGCACAAGCAATGGGTGAGCACACACAGCTCCATTTGCATGAGCAGCAGGTGCACAAAGCTCACACAAATTGAGCTTCATGTGTTCATACATTTATTTATTTTTAAAATTTATAAGCCACCCCACTCCCAAAGGACTCTGGGTGGCTAACAATAAAAAACACATAAAACATAACAAACAACAATACAAAAACAATTATCCAGGGGTAAGGTTTTATAAACCCCAGGCCTGCCGGAAAAGCCAGGTCTTAAGTAGCTTACGGAGGACCAACAGGGTGGGAGCAGTCCTAATCTCTGGGGGGAGCTGATTCCAAAGCGTGGGCGCCATCACAGAGAAGGCCCTCCTCCGCGGCCCCGCCAAATGGCACTGCTTGGCCGACGGGGCCCGAAGGAGGCCCAGCCTGTGGGATCTAACCAGACATAGGGAAATATGAGGTAGTAGGCGGTCTCGCAAATAGCCTGGCCCTGAACCATATAGGGCTTTAAAGGTAATGACCAATACCTTGAATTGGACCCGGAGACCAATAGGCAACCAGTGCAGCTCACGGAGGATAGGTGTAACGTGGGTGTATCGAGGAGCACCCACTATCACTCGCGCGGCTGCATTCTGGACCAACTCTAGTCTCCGAATACTTTTCAAGGGTAGCCCCATGTAGAGCGTGTTGCAGTAGTGCAAACGTGAGGTGAGAAGGGCGTGAGTGACTGTAAGGAGAGCCTCCCAGTCCAGGTAGAGTCGCAACTGGTGCAACAGACGAACTTGTGCAAAGGTCCTCCCAGCCACAGCCGTCAATTGATGTTCCAAATTCAGCTGTGGATCAAGGAGGACACCCAAGTTGCGAACCTGCTCTGAAGGGGGTATATTTTCCCCCGCAAGAGTCAACACTGGACAGTCAATATGATCCTTGGGAGGCAACATCCAAAGCCACTCGGTCTTGTCAGGATTGAGCCTGAGTCTGTTAACCCCCATCCAGACCCTCATGGCTTCGAGGCATCGTCCCATCACATCGGCCGCTTCACTGAGAGAGTTCAGGGAGGAGATATATAACTGGGTATCATCAACATACTGATGAAACCTCATCCTGTGCTGTCTGATGATCTCACCCCGCGGCTTCATATAAATGTTAAATAGGAGGGGAGAGAGGACCGACCCCTGTGGCTTGCCACATTCAAGGGGCCTCGGGGTTGACCTCTGCCCTCCAACCAATACCGATTGTGACCGGCTAGAGAGGTAGGAGGAGAACCACCGTAAAATGGTGCCTCCCACTCCCACCCCTTCAAGTCGTCGCAAAAGGATACCATGATCGATGGTATCGAAGGCCGCTGAGAGGTCAAGTAGCACCAAGACAGAGGAATAACCTCTGTCTCAGGCCCGCCAGAGATCATCCATCAGCGCGACCAAAGCGGTTTCTGTGCTGAGGCCGGGCCTGAAGCCAGATTGAAAAGGGTCTAGATAATCCGCTTCATCCAGAGACCGTCGGAGACGGGAGCGCCACCTCTCTCTCTACAACCTTCCCCACAAACGGGAGATTGGAGACTGGACGGAAGTTATTTAAATCAGCCGGGTCCAGGGTAGGCTTCTTGAGCAGGGGCCTCACAACCGCCTCCTTCAGGGATTGTGGAAAAGACCCCTCCCTCAACGAAGCGTTGATCAACACCTGGAGCCAGCTTCGTATCACCTCCTTGGCAGCCGAGACCAACCAGGAAGGACACGGGTCCAATAAACAAGTGGAGGCGCCCATTTCTCCCACCGCTCTGTCAACATCCTCAGCAGTCACAGACTCAAATTCATCCCATAAAACTGAGCTAAGACCTGCCCCAGTCATCTCGAAAGGCCCTGCCCAATCGGAGTCTAGGTCTGTCCGAATCCGAGCGATTTTGTCTGATAAGAATTGCACAAATTCCTCTGCTCTACCCTGTAAGGGCTCCCCAGCTTCCCGAACATTAAGTAGGGAACGGGTCACCCTAAACAGGGCGGCGGGGCGAGATTCTGCAGACGCAATAAATGCGGAAAAATGCGAACATTTTGCCGCTCGTATCGCCACTAAATAAGTCCTAATATAGGCTCTTAGAAGTGTCCGGTCAGATTTGGAGTTACTAGCCCTCCAGCGTCACTCTAGATGTCTCTTCTGCCTGCACACCACTTGCATGGCCCAGTTCTGAATAGGCACACCTTGGGGTTGGGGTCCCTGATTTAAAAGCACAAATCAATATAAGAATAGCCTTTCAATACACTATTGAAGATCATAAACCATACTTCCTGCTCTTCATACTTTTCATACTTCCTGCTCTTCATATATTATTTGATGTAGAAAAGTTAATATTGAACTCTACAAAAGTCTTTTAAAATGATGGTCCCCAATCTTTTCAGCTTTCTGGAACAATAACAGCACCGGCAGTGGTGGGGAGAGGGAATAGTTTTGCACAAGCAATGGGTGAGCACACACAGCTCCATTTGCATGAGCAGCAGGTGCACAAAGCTCACACAAATGGAGCTTCACATGTTCATACATATGCCTGCACACCACTTGCATGGCCCAGTTCTGAACAGGCACACCTTGGGGGTTGGGGTCCCTGATTTAAAAGCACAAATCAATATAAGAATAGCCTTTGAATACACTACTGAAGATCATAAACCATAATAAAGTCATTAGATGTATATGAGGGAGAAAGAACAAAATAGAAAATTTCTGGATGTTTTCCTAGATAGATCTGAATTCTACACTTACCCATTTGAGTTGAGATCCTCCCTGAAGGACACTGAATGCAATCATAACAACAGATTTGTTTCCCCTGCTGAATTAGTTTGCTTTGTCCAGGATGGCAGCTCTCAACACAGGTAGATTTTGGCACCATCTGTTAATATTGTTCAGAAAAAAAGAGTCTATAGAGCAAGAAATAGTTTTCTCCTCTCGCTGATAATTCTGAATTACATACATTTGAAACAGATAGATTTTAAAAATTATGAATCAGGTTATTAAAATCTTAGAAAGATTCCTAATTTCACAACTATCTGACATTGGTAACTCTTTCTGCATTTTTCTTTTTCCCCAATATATTTTCTAAATTCAGCTCTCTCAACAAATTTCCTTGCTGTTCTCCAGATTACCACTCAAATGATACTGATATTAAGCGTAAGAAAATATAACAGTTCCAACCTGATGAAACGTGGGATTCCACAAAACGGCACTTGCATTAATGATGAATTCTTTTCCAAGTTGAAAACTGGGATCGATTCTTCCAACTTGGACTCTCTGGAAAGATTCATTGGGAAATGTCACCAAATTGATGAGGTCATAGCCTATCGCTAAATCCCTCTCTTCATCAAGAAATATTTCATCTCCACCGTTATTGTTAAAGTGGACTTGTCTCAAAAATGAATTAAGCTAGAGGGAAGGAAAAATAGGTTACTGCTGTAAGGAAAAGTAATGGTCACTTGGAACATCAGTGATATGACCTTTAAATTGAGATATGATGCAGTACTGAAAATTAGTGTACATCAAGAATCGAAAAGGTTTTATCCAGCCAGAACATGGATGGTTAACCATAACAGCAATATTTTTCATCTGAATCTGAAACCAGGGACTCATTCCATTCCGTCTAAACTATGTAAGATGACAGGAAGGATTTTTTTTCTTTTTCCCTGAGAAACTAAAGTCTGCCTATCAAATTCATTCTCCAGAGACTCACTTCTCCCATTTTTGAATGACGTGGATAAATATTTTGTTTCAAAGAAATTAGGCTATAGTCTAATTTACACCTTTTCTGGAGCACTCCAGCTACAAGCAATTTAGGCCTTTTTACTCATTTGGGAGAAGTAGCCAGTCCTTACTGTTTATTCCTCTTCTGATAGTGGGATTAAATATCTGTTTGTTTTTGCTAATTTGAGAAGGAGCCAACCCAGAATGGATTAAATCAGGGCTTTTCAACCTTTTCACCCATTGTACCACTTTTAGGATATGTCAACATCCGAGTACCACCAGTCGCCTAGCAAGGTGTCAAAAACTTGATGACCAAAAAAAAAAAGGAAAAAAGTGATAAAGTACAGGTAGTCCTTGATTTACAACAGTTCACTTAGTGACTGTTCAAAGTTACAATGGCACTGAAAAAGTGCCCCCCAAGCCACAGCCGAGCAAGACACCTACCTACCCGCCCGGTGGTGCTCTTCCTCCTGTCTGAGGATTTCATTGTTGGGAGCATTTCTGTTGAGGATTGGCAGTGGGGGTGGGGGTGGGTGTTTGGTTTTTATTTCCCTGCCCCCTCTGCTGGGACACTGTGACCATCATAAATATGAATCAGTTGCCAAGTATCTGAATGTAAATCATAAGACCCTGGAGATGCTGCAACATTCCAGCTGACCAGTGCTACTTCTGGGCTCAGCAGAAGTGCCAGCATCAGTGCTGCTTTCCAGCTGATTGGTGCTTCTTCAGGGATCAGTAGAAGCACCTGGATCAGCGCTGAGCTCCAGCTGGAGCCTGGCGCTGATCCTGTTGCTTCCACTGAGCCCTGACAGCCCCGAAGAAGTGCCAATCAGTTGGAAAGTGGCACTGATCCTGGCGCTTCCACTGAGCCCTGACAGCCCTGTATCTCCAGCCATCTCTCACTTAGGCTTGTGCGGTGCTGCCACCGATTCAGCTCATTCCCCTCCCCCGCTACCACTTTTATAGGATGGTCATGTACCACCTGCCAGGTGCCAATTTATGACAGGTGGTACCCATATCACTGGTTGAAAAGCCCTGGATTAAATTATCCACTTTCCCCATGGTGTTAAATTTAGCATCAATTTTAAATCAGCATCTCATTGGTGCATCTGGACTCTCAATTTCTAATTCACTTTAAATATTTTATAAGGTATCTCCATTCTCTCAACATTCTCCTAAAAACATTCACTTGCTTTTCTTTGGGGTTTCAGATGCTGGTTGTGTTTACTAGTTTATCTCTGTTGTTACATCAGGTATGCTTCTGTTTTAGTTCTCTTTTGGTTTTCTAAATTATTTTGGTTTTAATGAATTGACCAATTTACTTGTGAATACCTGCCAGGGAGGAACATTTTGGAGATTCCATTGGCCTTGATTCCTGCTTCCCCTCCGTTTGTTCCTCCAGGAACACAAAGCATGGAGAGAATGTGCCACAAGATAAACAGCATTGTAGATGCTATAACTCCAACCAGACATCCCCATTTCAAAGACAAAATCAGGAAGGTTCTCCAGGTTCTCTTCCCCAGTGCAATTCTTCCTTTTCTGTCCATTAATTATATGGATGTTGAGTGAGCAGAAGAATGTTGATGTCCAGAATTCAGACAGGAAATAAAATGTAGACTTCAGAGGATTTATTTTCTCAAGAAAATTCTGAAATCCTGGCACATCTTTGGTATGGAGTGAGAATGATAGGGTTCCATTGAAGGATTTTTTGCTAAATGGTCTGGCAGGGTTCTGGGCAGTGAAATCCCATTCACATGTTGTGATCCATACCTTCTCCAAAGGCTTGTTATGGCCAATTTCCAATGAGTACAAAACCATCTGTAATCCTTCCAGAGACTGTCCATTTCCATATACAAGGAACACATTGATTTTACTTTGGGAGATAACAGATTGAATTTGAAGGATTTTTTTCTCAAGTATCTCTCTTAATAAAAATAGTGACATAATTGGGATCATCTGTATCCCAGCTATGCAAACATTATTTTGTAGAAGCTTGGGTCTCAGAGTTCGAAGAAAGTTTTCACCACTTTCATCGTCTGAAACAATTAGACTAACCCAATTCCATCCAAAATATTTCAGAAGTTGAACTATCCCCATATATTGAAAAGCTTCATTGGGAATCATTCGGTAGAAAGAAGAAAAACCAATTTTCTCTCTTAACATGGGGTCAAAGGAGCCATAACTAACCTGGGGAAAAACATTTTAAATCACAGAAAAACATTCAATTTTGCATACACTCTTTTTAAATGGCTGCTAATATTAGATACAAATTTACTGGACATTCTTATAAATCCACTTTAGTATATTGTTTGGTGAGTGGATGGAGTCACTTACATTGCCCATGGGTGGTCCTTTTTTTTAATTAAAAGTTTTTGCAATTTTACAATAAAATCCCTTTCCCACTACCTCCCTCCCCTCCCAAAAACCCTCTTCCCCTCTTCCCAGATCTGAATACAGGGTTAACTAGAACTAAGATCATGGGTGGTCCTTTTGAAGATGAGAAATACCAGTTAAGTAGCTTTCATATTTATGTGGTCACTAAGAATCAACATCAACTTGATGGCAAATAGTCAGACAATCAATCAATCAATCAGTGTATTTAGTTTGAAATTCGTGAAAAGGATATGAAAGAAATTTGATTTCTCTAGTTTACATTTCAAGCTTGCAGTAAACCAGGTCCTCAATTAGAAGTAGATGTAAAATGACAGTTCAACAATAGAAGAATTTACCTTTACCACTGAGACTTAACAGTTATTCTCCTTTTCCTTCTATATACCAATTTCCAAACATTTACCTGAGGAATCTTGTAAGTACTTAAGATGTTGGCCATGTGAATAGAATTTTCAGAGGTGAGTCCCCCAATGTTGGCCATGACTTCCTCTTCAGTGATACAGTAATAATTGAGTGGATCCCCTTTTCTTAGAAAGAGAAGATCCAAAGTGGTCCAAGTGGTTCTCCATGAATTGTACGCATTGTCATAAATCTGGGACCGTAATGTGTTGTTGGGTAACAGATCGGGATTCTTATTGATTTCTTTGATGGCAAAAAGAAAAGCAAAGACATGCTGGTAGTTTTTAGGGATTAGACTGCCAAGAGAATTTTGAATGTTAGATCTTAAGGGCTAATAATTAAGTGACTTGCAGCTTAGATCATCGCTTGCCCGTAGAGCTCAACTGAATATCGTTCTCTATATGATGGGAAACTCTTTCTGAAATAAATGCTTCAGATATTCCCCTAAAGCAAAGTGAATAAGTTTCTTTCCTCTGTCATTAATGCACACACTATATATCTGTCTATATATTTTAGGTTTCTTTTTTAAAATTGATACTCCTTTCTTTTGTACTTTATTGTATATCTCAATGGTGTAATTCATACAAGTTATAGATGTCATAAAGAAACTATGCTCTTAAATCAGAGAGATGGGGGAGACAGACAGAGAGACAGAGAGGATCTAATCTTCCAGGTAAAGTATATAAGGATACACAAAATTTTGGATGTATACTTTGGATATACAAAATTGCTTCTCCCTTTACGCATCCAAAGTACATTATTAAATATAATATAGCCATAGACATACTTTGTCAGGGTTTCTAATGATAATTCTTAAAAAGAATGAGGGATGTAAGAATTCCTAATTACTCTCATTCAACTTGCCCAAGGTACTATACCCTACAAATGAAACAATATCTTAGAATTAACATTTTTTAAATCTTATTATATATTCCTTATTGTCTACCAGGGGATCTAAATTGTACAGAGAGAACTATTAGGGCTCTGAGCAAATCCATCTTCACACACAGGCTATCTATATGTTTTCAGTCAAAAGTTAATAGCTGAAACCTGCCTCCCACCTCAATTTCTGCTATACGTGTGCTTGGCATACAAAATGTCAAAACATGGAGAAAATTAGAAGACAGAATAAGAGATCTATCATTATTTAGAAATAGTCATTTAGGTGGGGAAAGTAAGAATGATTATCAGACCCAAACAGAATCTTCCAAGAATGAAAAACCATTGAAGGTTTTTTAAGGAAAGTATGTTATGGGGACAGAGATACCTTAGATAAAAATGAAGAATTACTTACTAAGCTTGTGCTGGTGAAGAAATTGGATATTCCCTAAACTTCTGTTCCCTATAATTACCAAGTATCATGGATACAAATTCTCCAATTATAATTTCATCTGAAAGATCTGAAGGATGTGTGGAAACTTTTTGCTGATAAGGATCTTTTAGGTTCAAATGTTTCCTGAAGGAATGGTTGAGCTTTACAAGCAGGAAGATTAGAAAAAGAGCTAGGAGCTCTTGAGGCAAGCCCCACCCCAATCTTACCACCATGATAAACAAGCACCCAGCACCTTGATCAAAAATTCAGGAAATAAAAGTGAATAATTGTGCTGTTGTCAGATGTGGATCAAAGAGTGATATTAAAAAACAACCTTTTGGCAGGGCTTTTATGCAGTAAGCACAACTTGTCAGAGCTGAAGTGGTTTTGCAGTCATTGATATTCTACCTCTCACAATTTCCTTCCATTAATCACTATCATTATGGCAGTTGTAGGGCATCAAATCCCTGTTGATAAAGAAAATGATCTCAGCATAAACTCTGTATTATATACCACCCAAAGTCACTTTGTTTGAGTTAGGTGACAGTTCTTTATTTGTGCCACATATTTATACCTTTTCTCATAAACAGCTCAAGGGGCAAACATATACAACCTATCATCTATTTTACTATTTTCCCTAAACAGCAACCCTGTGAGGTGATAGGCTGATAGAGAGCAACCAGCCCAAGATCATCCAGCTGGCTTTAATGGACTAGAACTCATGGATGCCTTAACCACTAGACCAGGTGTCTTCAAATGTGGCCCTTTTATGACTTGTGGACTTCAATTCCCAGAATTCCTCAGCCAGGCACACTGCCTGAGGAATTCTGGGAGTTGACGTCATTAAGTCATAACAGGGCCAGGTTTGAAGACCCCTACACTAGACCATACTGGGTTTTATTAATTGAGTAAGTAAATAAATCAGCAATAAAATGCTTCTCTTCCCTCATTCTTCCACTATGGGAATTAACAAGCCTTTCCATTTTTGCCCATATAGGATTACTACTGCTGTCAACATATGTAATAAATTTCCTTTTTTTTTTCTAAATTCTTCATCCAATAATTCTAAAAGAAAATCTTCTGGTTTCAATTTTATACAGTGGTAACTTGGTACTTATCCTTAATTGGTTCCAGTGAATACCAAACAATAAGTACCAAACAAATTTAGAATAATATAGTGAGTCACAAAGGAGCTGACACCAACAAGTTTTACCTCAATGAGTACTGAGACAAGATTTTCACATCAAAATGTGTTGAGTATCAAATTCAATGAATTTCAAAGCAGTTGAGCGGTGTGTGGTTTTAATAGGATGCATTTGGCCTGGGGGCCGGCAGTTTGACATCCCTGCTCTATATAATGACATTAGCTAATTTTTTTTTCATTTGACAACCTTGCATCAGGGTGGAGTTGGGGCAACTGAATGGAGCTCAAGTGTTTACTGGCCAGATGCCCTTCCTGATGTCTATGCAGAGTTCGCAGCAGACAATTACTCATTGTGCCCAGAGAAAGAAATATCTGCCACTACACATAGGATCAAACCCACAGCCTCCTGATTATGAGAAGAGAGTTCTACCTCTAGATCATTTTACCCCTCAATGACATTAACAATTTAGTTGTAGAACATCTAAAATTGTAGAACATCTTTACATCTCTCCTGTGCTTCTACTTTATCTTTTAGTAAGATGCTGAAGTCTTCCATTCTGACATGTCAAAGACAAAATGAGTGTTTAAGTGACAAAGTGGAAATATTTGTCAGTATAGTTGCATTATCCAAAAATAAAAAGAACAGAAGAAGAGATAATTATTCTTTATACTTCTTCAAAAAAATCAAACTAACAACTGACAAATACAGTGGTACTCTAGTACTCATTGTTAATTTGTTCAGGGAAGCATGATGAGGACTCAAAACGATGAGTACCAAACAATGTTTTCTCATAAGGAATAATGGCAGCCAATGCCAAGAAGTTCAAGCTTGTGCATCAAACAAACAATGAATACCAGCAGAAAATTTTCATGCCGAAATGTATTGACTACCAAATTTGATGAGTTTGAAAGCAGTTTAATGCAAAGGTACCACTATATACTTTACTTCATTCATTCATTCATGGAAACTAATGCCTAAGAGAAGGGAGTGGTCAAACGAGCACTTTGCTGCTACCCCAAAAAATTATACAACTATATCTGCATGGTCACTAAGCTTTTGAGTGATAAAATTATGCTGGTTTATTTTAATGTTATTATTTCTATTGTATTTAATGCATGATTTACTATGTATATGCCATTTTTAAAGCCACTGAAATTTCTGGGTTTCTTTTTTTTAATTAAAAGTTTGGTTGCCATTTTAAGAAGGTATTTTTTTTTTAGAAAAGCAATGACTATAAGACCAACCTTATGGACCTATAGAAATATGGTTTAGTCATAGTGAACCTAATTTCAAGCTGAAAGAAGAATTGCCATGCCTCATGCTTCACAGAGGATGGTGACTTTTGATAGAGGACCAAGCCTCTTCTTTTCCACTGCTTCAGGCAACGATGCATGAGATCCCTCTTTCAAAACTCACCACCTCTTTCAAAGTGCATCAAGATCAAAGCCTTCCAGACAACTATTCAGCCACCATGATACAGCAGTAGTCAGCAGCTGTATCTGTCTCTTTCAGCAATGAACAGGAAGAAATTGTGACAGGAAGTTGCCCAGGAGTCCAGGGGGAGGGAACAGCCACACCCAATTTGAATGAGTCAAGTAGCTGGTGCCTACAAAGTGGTCTCCATTCTCCAGAGTTCATCCAATTGCCCTTTTATTAGAACAGAGTTCTAATAAAACTACAGAATTTCTTTTTCCAATATGACCATTTCAGCAAAGTGATGGGCAGAAGAAATAAGTATTTTATATGAATTAGGACATTGTGAGAAGAGAAGGGAGAATTTATCTGGCTATTAAACTATCTTTTAACCAGCATTGCTTTCTTTGGATAGGGAAAGCAAGACTCGGTTCCCCAAATCTGTTATGATCCCAAGATCATTTCTTTCTTGCTTGATGAGGAGTAGCCAAGAGATGGGTTTGGACCATACAATTTCTTCAACTGGAAAAATAGTTGAGTAGCTTTGGGAAAGGGATCTGCCTACCTCATAATTGTCAGAATTAAATAATTACACTTCTTTTTTGGGGAAAGCACAGAACACTTAAACACTTAACAGTTTAACTTTACTGTTAACAACAACTTCATGAGGCTCAGTAGGTTGCATTATGAATCACTCAGATGATAATTATTGTAATCTACAACTTTAGTTATGCATAAAACCAACAGAGACTCTCTTTCATTGTTGCAGACAAAGTGCTGTGATGAAGATGTGCCTGCACTGCTGTGATTGGAGCCAAATTCCTTTGGCATTCAAAAGGACTCAGATATTTTACCAGGGGTTTCTACTCTCTGTCCTTATCCTCCAGGCTTCTTTCAGCAAGACCTTTAACCCCATGTGTGGTCACAAACGACATTTTAAGATTAATTTCCCTGCCCTCTCCAATGATATAATCATTGGAGAATTTGTGTCTACTGTATATCCTGAATTGCCTTTACTCCACTTTATGGAACGCCCAGAAGGATCCTTGCGTGGAAGGCAAGTACTCTTTTGAAAGAAACCTTTCAATTTTTTTTAATGTGATTGAATTCAAGAGGTTCACATTAAAATTTTTCCACTGTAGATAAGAATCAAAACTGGTTTAGGCATGATTCTTATTTATAAATCTCTCTTAGTCAGGTGCTGGAATATAGCTGTTGAATGTAGCCTTGTAGATTCCTGGTTTTTCATGTGGCTGTTGCTACAGAAGAATTAATCTGATCATAAAAAAAATCTTGTTCCTCTATTTTTTTTATTTTGTATGCAAAAAGAAAAAGAATCCTTGTCAAAAATATCTAACATGATATTTTAATAAAATTTATAAATATATATCTATGATTCTCATAATATATAACAATGTCATTAGGATTTTATCTTTTATTCCTTATTTGCAAACACTTCTATATACCAAGACTTTTATTTTAAATAGATTATGGTTGCTTGAGATTTATATTTATCATACAGTATGTCTCCTTAGTAATTTAAGGCATAGAAAGGTGGGTCATTTTTAAATATATGAATGTGATCAAATGTTACAGTACATTTTGAGTATTTGGATTGTCTTGACAGTTGGGACAATTCATCAGTTTTTGCCCTCCAATTTCATCGCTATGCTACACATAAGAAATAATCCTTTTAATTGCATTAAAACCCTGTTTTAAACTTCTCAAAGTATGATGCACAGATGCCCACATGATCCTCAAGTGACATTCAGACATTCCAACTCACCTCCTCATTCCATGCTTTCCTCAGCTCTGGAATATCTTAACTACTGAAATTTAAGAATGAAGGTTTTATTCTTTTTAAAACAATGCTTCAGAATATGGGTGCATTCTTCACTTCTCTAATACTCATTAAAGCAGACAAATACTTCATTTTAGGCAAAGAGAAAAGCACTATCAAAGAAGTCTATCTAAATCCAATCCTTGTCACATTCTAAGATTGTAGAACTAACTGAAACTCTTCTTGCAAGCCGTTGCCTAAAAACCTACAGCATATCCTAGCCTTCAGTTTTGCCATTCAGGAGATCAACGTGAATGAGAACTTGTTACCCAACATCACCTTGGTCTCCAAGGTCTATGACAATGGTTTTCAAGCACTGAAAGCCTCTGCGAACCTTTTGACTCTTTTCTTTGTTGAAGGCCGTTGTCCCCTCAATTACAGGAGGGGAAAGGAGCAAAAAATCATGGCTGTCATTGGTGATCTCCCTTCTCAGAACACCATACAGATGGCCAACATATTAAATGCCAACAAAATTCCACAGGTAGGTCTCCGGACTCACATAAATGCACAAGAAAGGAAAGAGAGATGGTTAAAAGTGGAGAGAACCCCTCAAAAACAGCTGCAATATTGGGGAGCTGATTTGGGGTAGTTTTATTTATTTATTTATTTTCCCAGAGAAATGTAATGTATCAATTAATTCTTAATAACCACAAACATCATATTTTGTTTGTAAGAAATGGTGTAGGTATCATTGTTTCTGTGTCTTCTTCTTCTTCTTCTTCTTCTTCTTCTTCTTCTTCTTCTTCTTCTTCTTCTTCTTCTT